CTCCCTCCCTCCCTCCCTCCCTTCCTTCCTCCCTTCCTCCCTCTTTCTTTCTTTTCTTTCTTTCTTGTTAAGCCAATAAGAAGTTAGAACTGGCAAAAGTGATGGGAATAAGGCCTTATATTTCTATACCATGTGAAACCTTCTGTATCCTCACTTAAATTCAGTGAATTAAAAATTTGAGTTCTCCAAGTGTTGAAATAAAAGGTAACCAGAGTCAATGTAATAGCACTATGCCAGCAGTTACAAATTAGAAAACACAGCACAATAAGATTGCCATTTCTGAGAGGCATAGAAATATGAAAATTTGGGATAATGTTAATGAGAATACATATATCCTAGAAGTAAATGACAAAACTTTTAGAGCTGTAAAAAAAGAGAGAGATAACTTTAGTGATAAACTAGTACATATCGTAAAAAATAAAGTATAATCTGTAAAAATTATAGGTTTAATATAATTCATTAAAAGTCCAGTGGAATGATGGGGATAGGATTTTGAAAAGTTTAGGAAAATATAATAGGCTAGAAGAGCAAAATGTGAATTTTGAACTGTAAATGATAATGGAGGAAAATTCATCTACCAGACACTAAAACATTAATACAAGAATAGATCATTGAAGTAGAATTACTCTTATTTAGTCCCTTTTGTATATAAGGTTTGAATATATGGCAAATAGACATTACAAACCGTAAGCAATCATCTTAGAAAATTGGTAATCATTTGGGGAAGTAAATTAATTTATATTCTCACCTCATATATAAAATATTTCCTGTGGATTAAGTATTTTTAAAAATACCACAGGGGTGACTTACTAGCTCAGTTGGTTAGAGTTCAGTGTTATAACACCAAGGTCAAGGATTTGGATCTCCATAGCAGCTAGGTGACTAAAAAAGAAAAATAAAAACACAAAAGAAAAATATTTTGTTAAATGTTGGGTATTAATTATCTGAAGGAAGGAAGAAATTCTGAATTTAGAAGGAATCACAAATTTAACAGTTAAATGAAAATTTAAAACTTTTATACAAGCACAAAAAAATTTCAAAGCACTGTCATAAAGTCTTAGGAAATTGTGAAAAATAGTTATAGCTTATTAAAAATAAAGACTGAAAGTTACTTAATAATAGCATAGGCAAAAATGTTCAGCTCAGTAAAATAATTACAAATTAAAGGTTTTGAAACTATCAGTTACTGAATTGGCAGAGTTTTATAAAATGAATGCAGTACTGAAGAAGAATGAAGGGTCGAATAAAACTTTTTATACTTGCTCGTGTTTATATAGCAAGTTAGTGTAATTCTTTAAGGAAGCAGCTTAGCAAGATTTAATAAGCTTAAAGTTCAAGATCAAACCTTTTTGTCTCAGTTATCAAATTTCTGAGAAATCCTTAGAAAAGTTGTATTCATAAAATGTCCAATGGAGAGCACTATTTATAACATACACTATATTTCTTATTCTGCCATCTGTTGTCTCTACATGTGTGCTATTTGCCTGTAATGAATCCTATCACACAAACACATGCCTCTCTTCTTGGGAACTCTTTCACCAAAGCCTTATTGAGTACTCCCTCCTTTGAGGAACCTAATAAACTCTTCATTATTGTGTCTGGAATGGTAGTTTTGTTTTATGTGTGTGTATATATATATATATTTTTTTTTTAATTGACACATAATAACATATTTATGGGGTACAGAGTAGTATTTCAGTATGTGTATACAATGTGTAATGATCAAATTGGGGTAGTTAGCATATCCATCACCATAAATATTTATCTGTTACACTTCCCTCTGTGAAAACGCAGATGAAAAAAGAAAGAATTTACTCAAAGCCCGGTGAATGCCATGAGAGGCCTGAAGTGACTGCCTTTCGGCAACTCCCCTGTTAGGAGGAGAAAGCTGAATGTGACAGCCCTGATTCAAAGTTAGCTTCTCTTTTTTATTGTAAAGACAAGGAAGTTTCACCAGAAAAATCAGTTGATTCAATCATCAAAGAAAGATATAAAAACAAAGGCAGTGTAAAACTAGTAACAGCAGTAAAATTAACAATGTGACATTCCAGAATGCAATTTATAAAAAGCTGAGTCAATCCACCAACAAACAGCTTGCCCTTAGCAAACGTTTTCTTTCCCTACAGCAATTTCCTCAGCATATTTAAACAACAATCAACCAGCTTTCTTAACATATCTTAACAATCAGTAGGTTAAACTACACCAAGGACATCTGCCCTTAGAGCCAGCAATTTTACTGTTACAGTTTTTTATCTACGGCAGAGACTTTAGCCTGGGGAAAGTTTCCTGTCTTTTGCAAGCTTAACATTTCTATGTGTAATTTAAAAAAGTAGATCCTGTGAAATACATTTGTTTTATTAATGTTAGTACTCTCCACATTTATCATTTCTTTGTGTTGAGAACATTCAAACTCTTCTAGCCATTTGAAAATTTACAATTATCGTTAGTCACCTAGCACTACTGTAGAACACTTGACCTGGAAATGGTTCTTTTCTAGCTATATGCTTGTATCCATTAACCAACCTCTTCCTAACCCCCCTCCTCCCTACTCTTCCCAGCCTCTAGTTACCATAATTCTACTTTCTGCTTAAGAGTTTGACTTTTTTAGCTCACACATATGAGTGAGAACAGGTATTTATCTTTCTGTGTCTGGCTTATGTATTAAAGATATCTTCAGATAATTGTGATGTAGCCAGTCAGAACTACTGTTTAAGAGATTCTTTTTTTTTTCTTCCTTTTTGTCTTTTTTCGTGACCGGCAACGTATCACAACCCTCAGTGTTGCGCCCATACCGGACTGGGACCGGCAACGGGATCGCAACCCTCGGTGTCGCGCCCGCACCTTGCTCAGCCAGTGAGCGGCCGGTCTGTATGTGGGATCTGAACCCTCGGCGGGAGCGCCGCTGCGCTCCCAAGCGGCGCACTGTAGCAGTGCGCCACCGGGCCGGCCCTAAGAGATTCTTAGACAAGAGAACAAGTTTCCAAATATACTCATTAGTACTATCAGGCTTAAAGAATTCTTTCTGGATGCTCAGGGTCTCCCCAATTTTTTAATTAGACTCTACTTTAGTTAAATGGACTTAAATTCGATTTACATTGCTGTCTTTCTCATTCTTTTTATATCCTCTTGCCTTTTAGGACCAAACACTAGGCTGCTTCTTTACTCCAGGCCTTTATAAAAAGGCTTTTCTTTTTTTAAAACATCCCTTGAGTGTCACAGACCCCTCTTAGTATGTTTCCAAATTTTAATTAAAAATTGAGATTAGCCAATCAAGAATATTGACAGACATCACAAAATGAAACATTTTTTTTTGTTTTTGGCAGCTGGCTGGTACAGGGATCTGAACCCATGACATTGGTGTTATAAGGCTGCGCTCTAACCAACTGAGCTAATTAACCAGCCTTTAGTGTCAAAGTTCCTAAGAGAGCAGTCATTCTGTTTCAGATTGTCTCACTAGAGTAATAGAAAAACTCCTCTTCTGTGGCTTTTCCACAGTCATGTTTTTAAACCACCTTATATTATTCACAAAACTTGAGAAGACATTATTTTAGAGTGATGAAAGTTTTAAAATATATATTTTTTGAAAGTACCACCCTCTTCCACTCTTTCACCCCATTGTTAGAGAGTGTTATTCTATTTCTCCCTTCCTTACTCCCCAGTAGACAAATTTCAAAAAGATAATCAGCTTTTAAGCCCCTCTAATGCTGGCTTGTATAGTTGAAAGGAATTATGAGAAGTCCTTCTTCTAAGAATACTTTCAGAATTTCTTACCTGCTTTTGAATAAGAAATGGGGAAAGATCACATAGAGAAACTAGAAATATAAGAATTAATTCTTTAAAGTATAATTCATAGTCAAAGTTATTTTTCATAGAGTTACGATTTTTATCCATTACTGAGAAATTTATACTTCCATAACCAAAGTAGAAAGGGAAACAGATGATCTCCAAGTAAGCCAAGAAGTACCCAAAAAAGAAAGGCTTTTTAAACTAATTTAACCTCTTACATAATATAAAATAGTCTGGGATTTGTACAGGAATTCATTTTCTCACTAAACAGATTAATGGCGTCCCTTCCCTTTTTTCCCTAATACATAACCATTTTTGAAAGACACTGGATTCTAAATTCATCTGAATCATGCCTGTCCTAGTCCAGTCTCCAATTCTGGATACAGATACATTTTT